ATTTTTTGTTGCAGCTAATTATAAAAAACAATGACTCCCTCATCTCGTTAAATTGTGCTAACTTTATTTTTGCAGCTGCCCCAACCAAAATTGTCATTTCCATTTAAACTAATAAATGTGTAGGTAAATTATTTTTCTCAACTGATTTGTAAAAATCTGAATCACATACAAAGTAATTTTTACTTCATTTATCTTCCACATGCAAGTGAATTCTGAACACATTTAATGGGGTACTGAGTATTATCATTGACATTTACATAATATTTGTATCCAAATATATTGTAATACTCTATTTTATATTCTGAAATTAGAACATTTCATTTTTAACTTTATTATATTATGTCTCTTAATTAATTATGTATGATGAATCTTTTAATATTTTTCTAATATTTTTTTTAATATTTAATGTATTTATGCTCAATATAATTTTCAAAGTTTTATTTATAACATACAATTATTAATTAGGTTGGCACTTAATATGGCATCACTAAGTAATGCTTCATTAAAGTGACAATAATTTTATAAAGTTTTATTTATAACTTACAAAAATTAAATAGATTGGCACTTAATATGACTTCATTAAGTAATGGTTCATTAATAGTGACAACAATTTTTCACTTCTTTTGGCTCCAAATAGATATCTATTTGGATCTCCACCATGTTCTCTTTATATATATAAAGATATTGATTGAATTAGATTAATTTTAATCATACATCAACTACACTTCAACGGAACGGACTAGTATTCAATAGGAATAATTACAAAACGTGTTACTTAAATTAAAACTGACCAAATTAGATTTAAATAGATCCGAAATTTTAGATCAAAATAATTCGAAAATTCTAGTCTGTAGTAACCTGTCTTTAGTTTTCAAACTTATCAAGTTTGTCAATCTGATCATTTTGATCAAATAATACACCATTTGTGTTTATTTGTTTGCTATACAGCATTCATAATGTATTCATTGATAAATATGTCAATAGATAATAATATACAATTATATACTCCGTAGTTATTATTAAAATAAAAATCATTTATTCTTAAATCTCTTATTTATGTAGGAATCTTCCACTTCTTTCTTGAAAGTTGCCAAGAGACATCTTACACCTTCATGGAAGGAGCTCTTCAACAAATAGGCATGAGAGAAGATATGAAGATAATTAGGAAGCTTGGATGCAGCTTCCTCTTGTCTCCAAAGTAGCCTATAAATAGAGTGTTCTATTGTTGTTCATAGTATCAATTTTAGAAAGTGAGAAAAGTGTGAAGAGTGAAATACACTTAGAGTAGAAGTGTATTGATGAGGATTGATTTTTTGTAATAGTTGAGTGTGAGAGTTTGTTCCTCCTATAGTAATTCTGTTCTTGATATTGAATAGGAGAATTTTCCAATCCCAACAAGTGGTATCAGGGCGAGGTTGATTTTCTACAGGTTAGAAAATCGTGATTTTTGAAGTTGCTCAGAATCACGATCTGATCATACCGTTAGATTCGTCTCGTCGAGACGAGAAATCTGGTATTTTTGGGGAATTTTTTGGCCACCGGAAGAGTCCGTACGCGCCGCCCAAATGCCGCGTGGAAACTGCCTGCGTCATCATTGCGACATCACGCAGTCCAGAGGAATAAGACGAGACGCGTCAGTGACCAGTCAGCCGCCATGTCATCTCCACGACATCGTCACGTCGGGCCACGTCATCGCCACGTCGTGCTGCGTCATCGTCCACGTAATCCGTCTGTCGGGTGCCACGTCAGCTGCCACGTGGCGCCAGCACAGAACCATCTATTGCCACGTCATTGGCCTGGTGGTCTGCCCGCTGGGCTGCTGCCTAAACCGGATCGAACCGGTTCGTAGTTGTGGAGGCCGGTTCACCCATTTCCAGATCGGTTTTGGACGAGGTTAGACTGGTTCCTACCATTTTCGGCCATTCCGGATCCAACGGTGAGCTCCGTTTGTCCAAATCAGGCTTCGAAAATAAAGTACGAGATATATTGAGCGTTTTATAATGGATAAATCATCATCGGACACCATGATTGCGCTCACTTCCACAAATTACAATATGTGGAAGCCTTGGATGGAGGATTTGCTAAATTTGAGGGATTTAGCCGATCCTCTTGATAATAATGGCATGAAATCGGATAAAAAGACGGATGAAAAATGGACAAAAATGAATCGAAAAACTGTCGCACAAATTCGACAGTGGATTGATCATGGTGTGTTCCACCATGTTGCTCAAGAACAAAGTGCTTACACACTATGGGAGAAGCTTGGTAGCATGTATCAAGCAAAAACCGCCTGAAATAAGACGTTACTAATGAGGCAATTAGTAAACCACAAGTTGCGTGGTGGTATTTCGGTGTCAGAACATACCAGTCAATTCCAGGATCTTGTGAATCAGTTGAGCACCACCGGATGGGTTCTCAAAGATGAAGAGCAGACGATACTACTCTTGAGCTCTCTACTTGACAGCTGGGAGAACCTTGTTGTCACTCTCAGCAATGTTACTCCCAATGGCAAGGTGACAATGCATATAGTCACAGATGCCCTAATGAATGAAGAAGCCCGAAGGAAGGAAGTCGGGACTGAATAATCATACGCCCTTGTGTCAGAAACTAACAGACGAGGGGGAGGCAGAAATGGAGGAAGAAGCCGAGATCGAGGTCAAAACAGAGGAAACTCTCAAGTTCATGGCAGATCACAAGAGAGAGGTATGTCCTTTGAAAACAATACTTGGTTTGAAGGATATTGCAATTACTTTGGTAATTATGGGCACAGAAAAAGAGATTGTAGAAAGTTTCTACGAGAGCAGCCACAGACGAGTCACAATACTAGCCAAGAAGATGGTGAGACCATGGTTAGTTTGTCATCAGACGTGTGTCTTGTTACACATGGTGAACAAGAATGTTTACACGTAGGTACTCGTGATGTTGAGTGGGTGATTGATACAGCTGCATCATTTCACACCACTCCACACCAGAACTTATTCACATCTTATAGGTCAGGAGACTTTGGAGCTGTGAAGATGGGAAACACCAGTTCTCGAAGATTGTTGGCATTGGTGATGTGCACATAACAGCCAATGTCGGATGCGCACTTGTGTTGAAAGATGTTCGACACGTTCCAGATCTTAGATTGAATCTTATCTCCAGTACAGGTCTGGATCAACAAGGATATCTTAACCAATTCAAAGAAGGTACATGGAAGTTATCTAAAGGTTCCTTGATTGTTGCAAGAGGCCATATTTGTGGTACTTTGTATAAAACCCATGCAAAGTTGTGTCATCCAAATCTCAATGTTGTTGAAGAAGAGATATCACCAAACTTGTGGCACCGGAGGCTAGGCCACTTGAGCGTGAAGGGATTGACATCTCTTGCAAAGAAGGAAGTCATTTCCATGGGCAAATGTGTTGCCCTAGATCCATGCGAGCAATGTCTATTTGGGAAACAACACAAGGTTTCCTTCTGTTCTACTAGGAAGAACCATACAGAGTTACTCGGTCTTGCCCACTCTGATGTATGTGGACACATTGAAGAGGAGTCACTTGGAGGAAGCAGATATTTCGTGACATTCATTGATGATGCATCACGAAAGGTATGGGCTTACTATTTGAAGAGTAAAGATCAAGTGTTTGATCGCTTCAAATTATTTCATGCCATGGTAGAAAGAGAAACAGGGAAGAAGCTGAAGTGTCTACGTTTAGACAATGGAGGAGAGTACATTTCCCGGGAGTTCTCAGCATATTGCGTTGCATATGGAATCAGACATGAGAAGACGGTTCCACGAACTCCACAGCACAATGGTGTAGCCGAAAGAATGAATCAGACCATTATGGAGAAAGTTCGTTGCATGTTGAGTATGGCTAAACTACCTAAGCCATTCTGGGGTGAAGCTGTGCTGACAGCTTGCTATCTTATAACTAGGTCACCTTTTGTTCCTTTAAACTTTGAAGTGCCAGAGAAGAAATGGTCAAGAAGAGATGTTTCTTACTCTCACTTGAAAGTGTTCGGGTGCAAGGCATTTGCACATGTGTCCAAGGAGTTGAGAAAGAAGCTTGATCTCAAGTCAAATCCATGCATCTTCATCGGCTATGGTGATGAAGAATTCAGATATCGGTTGTGGGATCCCGAAGTGAAGAAAGTTGCACGAAGCAGAGATGTTGTATTTCATGAAAATGAGTTTCATGGGTGTACTCCAATAATCCGCCAACAACATACTCCAGAAGACGAAGTGCTTATCATCAAACATTCCTCTCAGCGACGAGGAGATGTATGATACTACTGAACATGAGAGTGATGGTTCAGTAGGTGATGATGATGCTCACAGTGATGATATTCCTCAGCAGGAGGAGCCTTCATCTGAAGATGGAGCTGAAGGTACTCATGTTCGGCGTTCTATGCGAGGCATAGTTCCACATAGAAAGTATTCCACATCTGAATGGATACTTGTTACTAGCAAGGGGGAGCCAGCGAGCATCGCAGGAATGAGAGAAACAAAGAAAAAGGTGGAGGGGGGGATTTGTAGGGATCTTCCACCTTCTTTCTTGGAAGTTGCCAAGAGACATCTTACCCTTTCATGGAAGGAGCTCTCTAACAAATAGGCATGGGAGAAGATATGGAGATAATTAGGAAGCTTGGATACAACTTCCTCTTGTCTCCAAAGTAGCCTATAAATAGAGTGTTCTATTGTTGTTCATAGTATCAGTTTTAGAAAGTGAGAAAAGTGTGTGAAGAGTGAAATACACTTAGAGTAAAAGTGTATTGGTGAGGATTGTTTTTTTGTAATAGTTGAGTGTGAGAGTTTGCTCCTCCTATTATAATTCTGTTCTTGATATTGAATAGAAGAATTTTCTGATCCTAACAATTTATGAGATTGTCTCCATGCCAGTTTGATTGCCTTTTCTACCTAAAAACTACTTCGTATATGATTATCAATATTATTTGTAAGTACTTTTATTTTTGTCTGAAATTCAATTAACAACTGAAATGAAGCTTGACAATTTGCACATTTAATAACTTATACAAATAATGTACTGCGCTCTTATTAAAAAATATCTTTAAAATAAAACTTACATTATACCAAATTAGACCAAACTAGATTTAACAATACAGACCAGACCTGTTCTAAATATACGCGTAAAGTTCAGACCAAATCAGATCAGATCAAACACCTTCGACCTAGTCTAGTCCAATCAAACAGAGCCTAATAACCTGATCACCCCTCATACATCTAGGGTTTGCAAAATTATATGATCATACCACAAGGGGAAAATACTTCTACAAGTGCAAAAAAGTTGTGTAGTCATTGAATCATAAATGTACACAAGTTATGATTTACTAGTTGGATTCATACAGTTTTCCACCGCAACTCTGCATGTATGACTCCATTCTTTGAATCTATAAGATGGTATTTCTCATTTATCCGCCCGTTGTGGATCACGTCATCTAGGTTTATGTCAACGTGTCCCAGTGATTCCTACAACAACAACAACAACAACATCCAAGCCTTAGTCCCAAACTCCCAGTGATTCCTAGTATAAAAAAATATATAGATAAATATTTCTTTTTTGTTACTCTCGAGGTAAAAAAAAAGTATAGGAAAAACTTGTGTGGTACATAAAGTCACTTCCTGGAAAAACTTGAGGTCCAAAATTTGATACTTTAAGACTTGAAAATCTCACAAGTGATCTCTTAGAAGAAGTTGCTTTTCATTGAAGGGGGGAAAGCTTGAAATATCCTTAGGGCTCAAGACGCCTATAAGAGGATGAATGTGGTTGCATTAGAAGTATGTGTACCTTGAATCTAAAGCCAAAGCCTTTCCTTTTACTCATGACCTGAACGAGAATCTTCTCCTTCATGGGAGGCTCTTCAACCATGAACTGGAAGTCTTCGTCCCATTGTGGATTACGCGTTTTTCGCATCACCTGCTAATTTCAATTGAGTCATTACAGTAGTACTTTTTTAATTAGTGCATAGTAAAAAACAGAAAGGAATTGTCCTAAATAAGAGTAGTATGTTTTTTGCTGAAATATGAGTAATTACTAATTACTATCATACTAAAAAATAGTGTCATAATATGGAACTACCATATTAATGTTTGGTAATGGAATATTATGGTACTAATATCGTTATATTAATGTTCGGTAATGTCATAATATTGCAGTATCATTTCTACATGGCAGTACTCTACTCAGATTTTTGGGGGAAAGCACTAGGCTCCACTTTAGGGGGAAATTTCTCCTTAAAAAGAACCCAAACATTAATTTTATTTATAAATGGCCCTAGTGTTACAACTCAAATAAATATTACTGTCATGGTTAAATGAATAGTCGTGTATTTCCATATCATTTCTCATGTTATCCATCCTTCCAACCAACTAATGTATGAGTAACTTTTTTTATTTAAACAAACAACATTATAAGGTGTACGAATATGTATGGTGAGAAGCATGAGATAGAGTTCATAATTGAAAAAAAAAAATAGAGTTCGTAATTTAATTGGCATGACCCAATTATGCCATAGATTACTTGGGTAGTTGGGTCCAGCCACACTAAAAATTAATAAAACCAACTAGCTAGTTCAATTTAATATCGTATAAACTCGTGTTACTCTATTAACTTATGATCATGCATTGTATTAAAGCAAGTGCTTACTTTACCTTAGATTTTCTCTTTTCACCTCTAAAGAAAATCTCCACATATGGATTGTTGTGACGACAGCCCTCGACGTCCTTGGCTCCTAGAATAGTAACCATTAGAAGGCCGGCTCCCTTCGAGTTAAAATCATGCCTACTTGACAATCCTTCAACATTGTTCTCTTTCATACTGAAACTGCCTAAAGGACTATTAAATCCGCAGTTGCTATCCTCTCGGAAAGGAGCATATGTCAATTCAACCACAAGTTTCCCTCTTTGCTGCTGCTTCTTGCCTGGATCGTTGTCTAAACCTGTGGTCTTAAACAAGTCGAGTGTAACCTCCATTGTCTCGTTTGGTTGCAGCTTTTTCAAAGGATACACTTGTTTCCCGAGTTTGTCATGTCCACCGACCTGTATGGGAAAACGAGAGAACTTCTCATGATTAACTATCAGACTTGCATGATCCAATTGAGTCTTAACTTTCCATTGCCTCTAAGGTTCCGTTTGGTAGTCATATTTGGCTTATTGTACCAATAAACAGAGTCAGCAACTTTTGACTAATTCATTTGGCTGAAATGGATTGCCAAACGCTTATTCTTTCAAATAATTATCAGCGACCATTTCATCCAAATACTTACGAAATGAGCCTTAAGCAATTTGAAAAACATGGGCTTCATTATCTAATGAAGAGTGATCAGTGGTATCTATGTAATTCACTCCACTACTTCAGGAAGCCAAAAGCGGGCAATTGTGTTGTAACAGAAAGAGGCAAGTGGCAAACATTTTACTTTCTAAATACTCAGCAGAAACAGTTTCAACCATTACCAAGCAAGCCTGATAATAAAATTTGAAAAAGAAATAGTTTCTTATCAAATAATGATAAGAAGGTTAGCAATTGTGTTGAAACAGAAGGAAGTAAGAGGCAAACCTTGTCCCAATCAAACACATCAAGGTAGAGAAGTTGGGATTGTGGATCCTTCACAGACAGCTTGAAGGTCTCATTCCACTCGGGGTTCAGTGTCTTCTTCTTGATGGACGTTTTTTTTTGTGGGACAGCTATCTCCGCTCAAGAATAATTTGACATATGGATCAGATAATCCTAGCAGGTCCTTTTTCAAGAGTTTCGCGGCCCGGACCACTTTTACATGCAATATTCCAACTGGCTTCGTTATGGTCACCCTATATATTAAGGCAAACATGGCATGACCAAACAAGACTTGAAATAGAAACATATGAAATATTAAAAAAAAATGGACTTACACTGTAGGGGACAGAACTGGTATTTCAAGAACTTGGGGCCAATGGTAAAGGTTTGCCACTTGTTTTTTGATAGTTTCCTGAAAGAAAGAATTTCACATCCAGTGATTGAGAAAATCAACAATGTTTCGTAACTATTAACATAAATTATACAAAATCAGATGCTCTCCAATGAGCGATGAAAATATGAAATACCTGAATGAGTCGATATAGGCCTGGAATTGCCATGAAGTCTCCACCAAGAACTTTAAATCCAAAATCAACGTGTGGCTGCAAAACATATAGTACTTATTGTTTTTACTATCAATCTTAAGATTAATAAAGTCTACATGAAAAACGAAGTACTACCTACAGCCTAATATCTAATAAGATTCTTCTTACTAACACTAATAAAATTTAAGCACACATTGTTTAAATATAAAGATGCAAACTAACATATAAAGTCTTATTACACTTCTAAAAGACTGAATGGTTGACTCTTAAGATGGAATGTCAATATCTTAATGAAAACAATATGGAGTATTGTATGGAAGTTTCTTTGTCTCTCTCTTTTTTGTTTTAAGGGGGTGGGGGTTAGTCATTAACAACAGGCCCTTACCTTCTCCATCAATGATATCGCAATATTTGCAAAACATGGAAATGTTGGCACAAGGGGTTTCAAAGTCACTCGTGGCGCCAAAAAAAGTTGCAAATCCACCAACTGAGAGCAACACAAACTAACATTTAGAAGAAATTGCACCAATGTACACATTCCTATAAAGAGGACCCAACCTCTTGTTTTTTACTGACCTCGATTCTAATTCGGGCAGATAATAGCACTACCGAGACAACGATGCTTGAGTTTCCTGCCCACTTTATGGATGGTTCTAACACTAATTCCTTCTCGTTTGTTTCGTACACTTTCAAACCTGTCAATGCATAAAATGCAATGAAATCTGAGTTGATATGTGTGTGTGCTTATATAGTGTGTGCATGTATGTATATGTATAGCAACATTGAGGGCTGAAAAAATGTAGAGAGACAGAAACATGCCTTGAATTGTGGGTGGAAGAGTTCCAAGGGTAAGATTCTCAAACTCAATCTTCTTTACTTTATATTTCTCCATGAATTCGGCAAACATAGCCTCACACGAGATTCGTATAGTGCTACAAATGGCCTATAAATGTTAGACAAACTAAATAAGAATCAACGAAAGAAAATCTCAACTCTGAATGTCATCCCATGTGTATTACCCTTCATATCAGATTGAACTTTTAGAATAGATCTAGATGCCTTTACCTGTAAAATGCTAAAAAAGAAATCTACTTTTTAAGAGTATGAAGGGGCATATACATCTACCTTGTCAAGAAAAGGCCACATATCTACAATAAATTGGTTTAACCAGCCTACCTGCAAATTGAACGACCAAATGTGTTTTATTATGTACCTAAAAAATTATCAAGTAAAATCAATTGACATGAAAAGAAGTTTTGTTTCGCTTGAATCAAATAACAAGCCCGTACTCGATCATAATCTGGACTTTTAACCCAAAGTGGAATCTCAGGAATAAGACTTTGCAATATATCAGTGTCAAGCTCAAATATGGGCCTGACCTTCGGTTCCTGCAATCAGTTTAATTCAATAGGTATTACTAAGATTTCATTTTCAGTATGGCATAAGAGCATTAATTTCAGCCATTGTCAATAAAAAAATCATGTCAATAAATACATCATGGTTCCATTTCATTGGATTATATAGTTCTTTTCTTTATTTACTTTTTTCATCATAACTGCCATCTCTTTAATTGTGTCAAGTTTGATAGTTTGCAAACTAATCCCACAACCCTCATCCATTTGTCTTTAGCAAAGAACCTTTTTTGACCCAAAAATAGACAAAAAAAAATATAAAAAAATTCAAAACTATTTAAAAAATCAGAATCAACATAGGACTTGTAATAAACAGAACATCAACCCATGACTTGTTTCAAAAAGAGATATACTGTCACACAAACATGTCAAGGACAAAATTTGGTTTCATAAATAACTGAAGGTGAATCAAAAAAAAACTGAAGGGAAAAACAAGACAAAACCAAAATGTCCAATAGTCAACATCCTTGCTCTACTAGATACTCAACAGTCAACAAGAAGAAAAATACTTCTTTAAGTTCTTTTGTAATAACAATTTAAACTTTTGGTGCTATGGCGCGGCTAGTATTTTACAATTGTAGACATTGCTAAAATTATGCTAATTATCAAGTATTATTACAACATGAATTGAAAAATCAAGTATCCCGTAATGTGCAATTGATATTTAAAGCACAAATATTTGGAAAATTTCAAGATCATAATAGCAGCATAATAATCTGAAGTCACCCTACCTTCCTACAATCAATTTGACTGTTTTAGGCCAGAATCTCAAGTTTTAGTATCATACCATAAGTAATCTCACAGATGGGAATAAAAGTACACATTCATTTTTGCTATTCTTCCAGTCGACAAAACCTCAAACATAGTGCCGGTTTGGTAAAGCTGTTTTTGTCTTATCAGGCCATATGTCCATTCTACATTTCTACCTCTCTTTTTATATAATATTTGCTTTACTTTATTAATCAATTACATTTTAAATATATTTTTTGTTTGATCAAATTCAGCTATTTTTCCATCATTTGCAATGATTCATTATTTTTTGCTTGAGAATATAATGGAATAAAACAAAATGGCTCACTAAAATGTCTTAAACTGTCTAGACTTGTTATGAAGAAGCAGCCAGTCCATGTAATTTTGGACGGGATTTTCATTCAGAAATAGTCCCTGGGTGCTTTAGTAACTACGTACATCCGACCCCCTGCCCCACAGTAGGTGGGAGCCTTTGCAATTTCATCTATTTCAGCTATTTCATCCGTAACTTTAGCAATTTAAGCAGATAAGCTGAGATTCAGCTAATTTAATCAGCGCTCCAGTTTAACAATATCTACCTGAATCTCTTGTGGTGGGGAGTAGATAAAGAAGTAGAAGCCAATGAAAAGACCAATGGGGAAACCAATCGCACAGCCAAGAAATCCCAACAAAGTGCCAAACAATCCCATATGCAGATATGCTCTTTTCCTTCCTTGTCTCCTTGCCGCTTCAATTCGACAAATTTACAAAAAGGGTATGATTGTCTAAATTTACAGAGGGTGGGTTTGATTGTCTAGAATCTAAATGTACAAAAATGGTGGAAAAAAGAGTGGGGAAAACGCCAAGGGCTAAGCTTTATCTTCAAGAATGGCTTATTCCTTAGGAACGAAGAAGATGAATGCACAAAGGGATAGGCTTGGAGGGATGGAATGCAACTCTCACTCGGTACGTAACCGCCAAATCAGAGACCAGCTGTTCTTGTTACAGAAGAGCATATACGGAGTACATAGCTTCAAAAAAGAAAAGTAAAAGGGACGCAGCTATAAGAAATTGCTACACGTATGTTAGGATATGCTTATATACTGTGCATATCTATTGATAGGGTAAAGTGGTAAACTTGGCCAACACAAAGGGGGAAGTGGGGCCGCTGCTCTCCCAAGAACTTTCCAATTAGATACTCTCTCAATCCAATTAGATACTCTCCATGCTACTAGATATTGCCTCCTTTGATTTAAGAATTGAATAAGAAAAGTAAAAATTACTCCGTATTATATAGAAGAACAAAAAATAATAAGAATCATGTACGAACATAGAGAACTGATCTGGTCAGGCGCGTTTGATCAGAGACGTGCGGACTTGTCCATTTAAGAGTAGAATTTTTTCGTAAATATTTTTAGCATATTTCTCATCAAGTCTAGTTTATGCACATCAAATTTCAGCTCAAAATTTTATCGGGGAGACAGTTAAATAAATTTTTGAATCATATTGCGCTTTATATATGTACAAAATGCGCAGTATGTTTCAAGAATTTACTTAACTGCAATCTTGATCAAATTTTGAGCTGAAATTTGGTATGTATAAACTAGACTTGATAAGGAACATGTTAAAAAACATTCATAAAAAAAATTCACCAGAAAAACCCTCAAACGGATAAGTCTGCATGACGCATCCTGTTAGGCGTGCCTGACATGATCATTCATTTAGGAACATAAGGAGTACTTTTTGGTATATGCTTTACCAACTTTCTTTTTTTGAGGAACATGTTAAAAAACATTCATCAAAAAATTTCACCGGAAAGACTCAAACGGATAAGTCTGCATGACGCCTCCTTTTAGGCGTGCCTGACAAGATCATTCATCTAGAAACATAAGGGGTACTTTTTGGTATATACTTTACCAACTTTCTTTTTTGGGATGTCCCACTAACTTTGTCACTTTCTCTTTTAAGTAAAGAATTTGTGCTTCCAGCTAATTCTATCTTCTCTGCACAAAACTCAATCACGCAGTGTTTATTTTATTATATTCCGTGTCAGTCAAACTTGACAAAGTTTTGAGCTGAGGGACGGAGAGAGTATGTACTTTTACATAAACTTCAGAGTATATTTGTTTCAAAAAATAGAATAAGGATATATTTTTTCTCACACCTATACTACAACGGTATATTTGTATTTTCCCAATTTTAATATATACTCCCCATATAGTAATATTTGTTACAATAGAGTTTGAAACAATGTTTAAGGATATGAAAGAAAGGATAAGAAGTAAAAAAAATGTAATTTCAAAAACTTTAATAAAATGAAACTTATTTACAAAAATATGACTAATTATTTTTATAGTATATTGCATAGTCACTTAAGTGTAAAATTTAAATACTCTGTATAAGTCATTATGGCAAAGTTACTGCTATATTCATTTCACTTAAAAGGTCACATTTTTGTGAATGACATTTATTTGATCATGTATAAAAAATAATAAAAGCGGTTGGATGGGTTCACTCTCATCCTCGTCCTGTGCCTTAAAAATCTCCCCTGCATGCCCCATCCTCCACAGCTACTTTCCCCGCCCATCCCTCACCTGGCCCGCTAGACCTGTACCCAACGGTAAATGTAGGAAATACACATCAAAATAGAATTATAATAGAATTATATAATATTTCATTTTAAGTGACGAATATGTGGTTATAATTGTTTTTCTTTCCTCTCTACGTACAAATCTCAATCACATAATTTTTACTTTATTATTTTACATGCAAATCAAACTTGACTAAATTGTATCGGACGACGAGGGCAAATAAATTTGAATCTTTTTACTATACACCGAATAATAAAAATTTAAACTCAACTTACGTATAGTTAATTGCAAATGAAACAAAATATTTGTCTCCAAGTCTCTTTCAAGTGTAATGTTACAGCACCGGCACATGCATAGACAAGACAAGAGATAAAATAAGTTGATTAATAATTTACAAGTTTCCAAAAATTGAATAGATATTGTGACTATTGATAAAGTCCCAAATTAAAGAGGATTGTAATCTTGAATATTCTTCAAGGAAGTTCAAAATTTCAAACTAGACAATAATTCACTATTATTATTATTATTATTATTATTATTATTATTATTATTATTATTATTATTATTATTATTATTATTATTATTATTATTATTATTATTATTGTCATTGTTGTGTGTTTATTGTTGTCAGGATTAGACCGTTAATTCATTATCGGACCCAAATTTAATTTGGAGCAAATAATTCCTTCATCCCCACGCCCGCCCCACTTCTCTCTATAGAGCGGGCCTCCACGGGCCCGCCCCTTGTTATCCTTAGTTGCGTGCCCTACCCAATGATGCTTCCTGTTGGAATTCCGTGTGCAGCTTGTGACCATGGATAATTGGGTGATTGATGTTTCATTCATTTGAGGTCGAGCTCAAATTATTGTAATTTTATTCCGCAATGAGTGTAGCTGTTTAATTCTACTGCTTATAATTTTTCGTGATTTCTATTCAATTTGTTCACTTGATAAATTGATGGGTCTTTTCCATTCCAACTATTTATCCGAAACTGATTTTTGTTGATCTTGTAAAACTCTTTTTGTGGTTGAATTGTTCTAAAAAATGTTTTTATAGCTCTAGTTTTTAAAGATATTTGATTTATCAATTTTTCATACTACATTTGGACGATCAATTTTCAAGTGTAACGAGCAAGTAATTTTCAGTTAATAACAATTATACTACATGTATTAGTCAAATATTAAAGGTTCCATTCATTTTTCTTCCATTGCGGGCTAACCATTTTCCTTGTCTAGCTGTACTGCCCTAAATTGTCATCATATTAATGGATTTGAAATAAATTTTGCTATGTTTCTTTCATAAAAAAAAAGGATGACACCCCATCCCTGAGGGCCCCCAACACCGACCGGACGACACGATGGGAGAATGTAAATTGGACTATAATCACAATTTTGCTATGTTTCTTTCATGAAATTTGATCATTGGAAGTTGGAACTCATACGAAACATATAATTTGATGTAGAGAAAATCTATACTACATATAAAGTTATGTTTAAAAAACCGACCCGACCCGGCCGGGTTGACCCGGAACCCGGCGACCCGGACAAAAACGCGGTTCGGTTTGTTCAAAACCCGGAAATGGTCAAAAACCGAAAAACCCCGGCTGATCCGGGAAAACCCCGTCTGGACCCGAACCCAAGAAACCTGAAAAAACCGGGAAAACCCGGTTTTGGGTGTTTTTCCAAAAACAAAAGTAATTTCTTTTCTAATTTTGATGGTTTTCTTAAACCAGTAAAATTTCAATTTCAATAACCTAAGAAGAAAAACTATGTAATATATTTATATATTTATTTAAGAATGAAAATCATGCCAAATTATAATATAAATGTGCAATACAAATAAAAATATCATTATATATTTTTATAGGATCCAAATTATACTTTGAAATATTATGAGAGTGTATTAAATGCTTAATAAGTAGTATTGTTAGTTGATTATTATGAATAATAACTACTTTTTATTATAATTATATCTTTATTATGATATAGACGTATAATTATTGACCGGTTTTCCGGCGTTGACCGGGTTGACCTACCGGGTCCGGATTGACCTGTGACTCCGTCATGTGGCCGGGTCGCTCCCCGGTCTAGTTCTTTAAACATAGGTATAAAGTAGGGAGGAGAAACAAAAACCCTTCAGTTATTGTAACTTGGTTAATGAGGTAGTACCTAAATCTTTTTATTGTTTCCTAAATCAACTAATAGCGTACTTTGACTGAATTAGTTGACTCTATTACTGATTGGAGACTGATTGCTCTGTGCAATGTGAGCTATAAATTTTTTTCTAAAATGCTTGCTAACGGCATGAAGAAAATTCTAAACTTGTGTATTTCTGAGCAACAAAGTGCTTTCATTCCGGGTCGCTGCATTGTTGACAATATCATGCTTGCTTTTGAATCCCAACATTATATCAAATGCAAGCGACAGGGGAAAATGGGGCTGGTAGGCCTTAAGCTTGATATGAGCAAGGCCCATGACCGGGTTGAATGGTCTTTCCTTTATTATTATATAGACGTATAATTATTGACCGGTTTTCCGACGTTGACCGGGTTGACCTACCGGGTCCGGATTGACCCGTGACCCCGTCATGTGGCCGGGTCGCTCCCCGGTCCGGTTCTTTAAACATAGGTATAAAGTAGGGAGGAGAAACAAAAACCCCTCGATTATTGTAACTTGGTTAATGAGGTAGTACCTAAATCTTTTTATTGTTTCCTAAATCAACTTAGCGTACTTTGACTGAATTAGTTGACTCTATTACTGATTGGAGACTGATTGCTATGTGCAATGTGAGTTATAAATTTTTTTCTAAAATGCTTGCTAATCGCATGAAGAAAATTCTAAACTTGTGTATTTCTGAGCAACAAAGTGCTTTCATTCCGGGTCGCTGCATTGTTAACAATATCATGCTTGCTTTTGAATCCCAACATTATTTGAAATGCAAGCGACAGGGGAAAATGGGGCTGGTAGGCCTTAAGCTTGATATGAGCAAGGCCTATGACCGGGTTGAATGGTCTTTCCGTGAAGGAATGTTAAGAAATTTGGGTTTTCATGAGAGATGGATAGGGTTAATTTTGGAGTGTGTTACTACTGTTTTCTATTCCATTCCTTTCAATGATGGAATGATCAAGCTTACGTCTCCGGGTAGGGGTCTTCGTCAGGGGGACCCACTACCCCCTTACCTGTTCTTGATTGTAGCCGAAGGACTCAGCGCTTTACTTCGCAGATATGAAACTATGGGTCGTTTGCATGGGGTTTCCATTGCCCGTGGGGCTCCTATGATTTCTCATCTATTTTTTGCAGATGCCAGTTTACTATTTTTTAGAGCATCTCATGATGAAACTTCACTGATAAAGGAAACTCTGGTTGATTATGAAAGGGCTTCAAGACAGGTAATTAATTTCAATAAATCTAAGGTTTTTTCAGCACTAATGTTGATGTAAGCTATCGGGAGGGTTTGATCGATCTTCT